CGGTGCTATAATAATAATGTACATCAATGCGGAAAATCGCATGATAATATAACACAATATTCTCCTATTCAGCCAACAATACAAAGTCCGTCATCTTCGTAGGAAACGTGAAGAAGAAACAAAGAAAGAGAAGAAGCCGAAAACGAAAACTCTTGACGATGAAGACGAGGAATGGTTGCTGACTATGGTCAGACCTTCTGACATCTAAAAATTGCTTATATTTTTCTGATACTATCTCTAGTAGAGAATCTTGAAGCGCTCCAGCTCAAATCTCTTGTAATCTGGAAATTCTTTAGCTTGAGGGAGAATATTATAGGCTGGACCGATCACCGAGAATACCGTTGACGATGGAGCAGATGATGCTGACGCGAAGAAAGAAAATGCGTCAAAATATAAATGGATTGAGATTAATTATAGCGAGGAGGATCAGTATGTTCTCATAATCTATCACTTACATTAATAAGATCAGACAACTGTTCTAGTCCTTCCCTTCTGTTATCAACCGCAGAGGCCGTCGAAGGCTTGTCGCTTAAAATTCCAGCTGACGCTTTACATCGCTTTCAAAAGGTTTGGGAAGTTTTATAAGTCTCTTTTTGCACACGAATTCGATGTTGGTTCCTTTCTAGATTGGTCTCTATTTACCTGGAATTTGTGCAGATTATGTCCCAAAAGCTATCGATGAATTCAACAGCAGCAGTTTCGCTGGTTAGAAGTTCAGATACTGCCTTTAAAAGTAATTTATGAAAATGTACGATTTGAGGTGTGGAAATCGAGGGACCAATTGGAGTGAACATTACGGCATTGGAAGCCGCAGGAGTGAATTTAACTGCTTTGGCGGAGAAACTTAGGAATGACACTGAAGTGGACGAGATCTTGAGTAGAACGAATGCATCGACAAAGTAAGAACCGACAATGACTCGACCAAAAATGTTGATTATTCAGTCAGGAATTGTAAGCTATGAGCTTCAAGAGGGCTAATTCCTTACACGCTCCACTCCACAGATCGACGATTTTTTTGGAGAACAGAAATTTCTGCAAATTAGTACGAAAACTTTTAGAACTCTCGGTGGAAGCTACATCCTTCCGGTGCTCAGCAAGAATCAGTATGATCCATTTTCAGCTCCTATAGTTTTTCAAGTAAGCTATTTGTAAGCAGCAATTGCAAATTCATGCTTAGAAATACATAAAACACTGGATGCAATTTGAATTTCAGGGCAGTGCAGTTGTAGTTCGTTTCGGGATCTACATCGAGTCTATGTCAAATTTTCAAACGTCAACAATGGTAAGCTTAACATACATATCACTTTGTGTTGTGTTTTAAGGAAGAGTTCGATTAAATTTGAGGAGAAAGGAGCTGTTCAGCCTTAGTTCCAGAATATTAGAGCGTTCACGGCTGTAGAGGGTCGTCCTTGGAGTCCTACTGCAGAATTACCTAACAAATAGGCGAAAGAGCGTCTATAATAAGTTGAAATATTTTGGTGTTCATTTAACTTTACAACTTTACCTCATTTCTCACATTTATTATCTACTGTATCACCTTTCCTATGGGTATAGGATTACGACATGGATATTTACCTTATGATGTCGTGGAGAGATGCTCGTCTTGTAACTCCGTACGACAAACCAATACTCGTAAAAGAAGAAGAGATTCTCGAAAAAATTTGGCGACCGGATCCTTTCTTCGCAAATGCGAAAGAAGCGGAATTCCACGAAGTAACCTTTTTGAATTTTCTAATGCGCATCTTCCCGGATGGTTTGGTTCTCTATGAAACAAGGTATATCACTAAGGCTAGCTTTAACGTACTTTCCAACAATTTGTTGTTGGCTTATTTAGAGTCAAAATAAAGCCATCGTGTAATCTGATTCTGTGCAAATATCCCCACGACAAGCAAACCTGCGATCTGCTTATCAAGTCATGTTTGTATTTATGTATTTAATCTGCAGGAATTTTTTTGTAGAACAAAAAATTCCAGTTGCATATCCTGTAGAGACTGTGCAGTTTGAATGGTTTACTCGCAGAGCTGATGCGATTGACAAGAATCCAGATGTGAAGCTACCAGAGTTGTACATAGATCGTTATGAGCCGACAACATGTACAAAAGCGAGAAAGTCTGGTAAGTTT